GTCAGTCTGTGAAGGCTACACGGGGGGATCTTTGTCTTTGTGTCTTCCCATGTTGTGCCCCGAGTGCATCCCATGCTCAATTCCCCTCGCTGCTTCCCAGACCCTTTGGGACGCCTCCCTTTCTGACCCCCCCCAGCCCTCCCCCCTCCACCTCCCCGCTCCCGCCCCCCTTATACCTTGCCATTGCCTGTGTGATGTATGGCAAATAATGGGATATTAACGACAGGACATGTGTACGGCTGCATGCGATGCGGTGGATTGAGTATCGATTTTGGAGGGATGCGCTGAGGGAGGGGGGGGGGTTGCTTTGAAAAACGACAAAACCAAGTTTTTTTTTATCAGTGATGTGCAGTTTTGCACCGCAACACACCAGCAATAACTTATGTAACGGCAAGGACCATCTTCTCTACATGCGCTATATTGTACCCTCCACAATAAACATTTATATTTCAGCAGCACGGCAATTCACAACTCTCACGAGAATGTTTGCGGCGAGCACACAAAAGGGGTTGGTAATGTTGTACAACAGCCTTGGCCGTGATGCTGGAAATACAGAAGGCTATTATACTTCTTTGCGCTCAAGATGACGTGTTAAAAATATATAAACTCGATGTAAAATACTGGTGCCATAAAACACGTGTGCAATAGACTGCCATAAATTAAACGGATTAAAACGTTGTGTTGCTTAATGTGTCGTATATTGACGCATACAATAATGCAAGTATATTGAGCTTCACTACATTTAAAATAAAACAAGGGGAAAATGTTAATATCTCAACATACTAATTCATAGGAGAAAGAAAATATAAAAGATAATCACATACGATAATATATGGATATATTTCGTCGAAAAATGTTACTCGCTATTATTTATCTCCCATAATTTGGTACAAACATTGTTCTTTTAAACTGATTTGAGTAAAAATATGTTGAGCATTTAAAACAAGTTATTCAATGTAAAATCACCATAATTTGTATTTAAAAAATAAAATACGTGGTCCTTTGCCCAGAAGTGGGCAGTTTATCTATCGTCACAGAAAAAAATGTATATATAATTGTGAATGCTCGTATGCTGAAAGTATGAAATATGAACGTCCACTAAATAATAAAGTTTTTGGGTTAGATCGCGTTATTTATAAGTGTGTCGTAACCCTCCACCACCCGACACGGCTAATCAGCAAAAAAGTGTCACGTTGAAGAGTGAATCTACATGTTGTGGATTCACTCTTCAACACACCGGTGGGCTAAAGTAGTGAACTATTTGTCTTTTGTCAACGTGACACTTTTTTTGCTGATTGGCCGTGTCGGGTGGTGGAGGGTTACGACACATTTATAAACAACGCGTTCTAACCCAAAAACGTTTATTATGAATAATACTGGTCGCGAAAGCCTACGTGTTAAACTGTCCACTAAATAATGATGACAATTACATTTGCTGCGAATTCCATGCAGACACACAGTAAGAACCTGCCCTGATCTCAAGCGGCCTTTACCACTACGCCCACGACCCCGCAGTACAATACCAGCCGAGAGAGGGGTCAAGAGATACCAGAGAAGTCAACAAAGAAATAACATCTATTTCTAATTCTGAACGCTGTTGCATGTTCGACTCGCCGGGGACCGAGGTATATAAGGGACGATTTGTGAAAAGTGATCCGATAATTGTTTATATTTTAAAACGTGACAATAATTAACGGCGCTTTCAGAGTAGATGTACGCGATTTTAAGAAGGCGATCGTGCGTGTCAAAAGGTTCGATTTAAGAACAATCCGAGGCAAATGACAACATGCACAAATACGGCAATGCGTGTGGAGGGTTAACATTGATCAGCATGGATATGTGATGGTTGGAGAGGTTAGGTTGTGCTACATTTAAATGTCTCGCGATTAACATCCATGCGCATTTCTTTTAAATACATTCAAACGTGTTGGTTATTGGGGAAACGCCCGGTGCATTACCATTAAAACGTGCAGTCCAGTTAACATCTGCCACCTGCAGACAAGACCGTGCCACTGTCCTCGTAACGAAGATCAAATGGGGGATAGCGTCTCAGCAGAAGCGATGCCCTCATCACACCTTGGAAGGCAAGCACGGCTGAGTGTCGAGAGTGCTTGGATAGGCAACCAAAACATGGGCTGCTGCACAGCTATTAATGTCGGCCAAGGAGCACGACAGAGAAATCCACAGTTGTGATGTATTATGCTTCCACGGATATGCTTCGAAGACAAAAAAAATCCCTAAACAGATCGTTCGGGCAAATGCTGTGGAGTGGACATGGCACACGAGGGGGTGGGTGGCCAGCACCACGCCAAGTTTACACAACACACAATCCACTAATTTGAGGCTGAGTCGACCTAGGGGAGGGAGGCCCAGAACCCATTCAGATAATCGTCACCAGTGTTGGCTGTGATTTAGTGTGCTGATCTTAAAGGTGCATTGAAAAATGTTGATACTCCGACTGATGCTATGGCTGCAGAGTTTGGTAGTACATGTTGTTTACGTCGTTTATTGTGAAAATTCGGTCACAGTTCCTATGATCACTGTTTCATTGCTTCTATGGCTTTATTTTGGTGATTTTCGAAAAGTTTTTTCGGTTTGGCCATGTTTGTTTCTTGTAGTACAGGGTTAGACGGATGGCCTTAATCTAAGTTGTCTTGTGGTTGTTGTTGTTGTTTGACTTGCATTCCACTGGGATATTTGCACAGGGTTGGTGTACGGTGATTTTTCTGCAATATTCTGCTGTCTTTTCTTGGATTTTCTGTTTGCACATAGTCACTTTAAGATGTTTTCTTATTAATGTTTTTGTTTTTTGTTTGTTGCGGTTGCACCCGATTCAAGAGCCGAATGGCTCACAGGGCTACACCTAATAAATTAACTTTGAACTTTGAAGCTGCATGACCGCTCCCCGCCTCTCGCACCCTGCACGAATGAGCATGATGAAGTGCTCACATCACCCCCATGAGAGGGATGGCATGAGGATGCTCTCAAAGCAGTGGATTGATAAATGGTCTGAACACTGTCATTCAAACATTAATGCATTTATAATACGCAACAAATGTAACTGGAAAAGGACATTCATATGCACGGTACTTTTGCATACCCTGCATGGATGCAATAGCTATACAGTACAGTATTTGGAAAGTTTGTACTTAATCACTGTTGTTCATTTACTCCGAGGGTAACTTTACGAGTTTACATTTGAACAGACTTGATACACAACGGCCGTTTCGAAAGAAAACACACTTAAGCGATGTGCTTTCGCTAAGTTGTCCCCACCTGAAGAAGGACGCTTGTGTTGCGCCCGAAACGTCGTGATTTTATTTATTTAATTTTTTTACCTACGTGACTTTACCGAAAAAAGCAAAGAGTATGAATCCTTGCAGTCACGAAAACTTAAATTCTAGAATAAATAGCCGAATCGAAAATTATTTAGTCACAGCATCGCTGTGGTTCACCTGGGAAGTATACCGTGGCAAAAATCCTTGCAGGAATCGATGACGAATAAGAAGACAATGCAACTATTGCACAATGCAACATTGGTGTGGCGAATTCCATCGACCACCGGTGCCCTCTAGTGGCCATGATGTTACTATGCGTTTAAAAAGTGAACACTGGGATGTTAAGTTGATATTCTTTGGTTCTTTCGGTAAAGTCGCGTAGATGTTAAGTTATGAAAGGGATGCAGGTATGAAAAATATATTTTCCATTCAAAATAATGCCATTGTAATGTAAAACACAAAACTAAAATGCCATTTAAAATACATCAATTGAAAATAAGGGGCATTTGAAGTCATGCACACAGCTTTACTGGTTACGTCTACAAGAATACCCACAGTTCTTCACACATTTGTGCCAGACAGGCCAGGCCAGAAAGCACATCGTTCCACGTGGAAGGAAATGTCAAAACAAAACGATCCCCCTGTGGAGTCCACAATGCCTGTTGGGGCACGTGCTGTTAGCGAGCGCCTATGAATACTGGCACAGCACACGAGGGAGGGGGTGTTACGTCTGGAGCTGCGCTTGCACGTCTCCCCAAGTGCCAAGAGTTTACGACCTCGCCAGGCACTCATTTGAGGCCGAGTCGACCTACGGGAGGCCTAGACTTAGTTCAAATAACTCAGCACTGACTTGGTTTGTAACAGTGTGCACGGTCGTGTCACGAAATATAAAGCAGACGCATTAACAAGCTCGTATTCCAATTGACAATTTCCTCCGCTGTCGCCTTTCGGGAACAGCATCTTGGGATAGAATTGTATGTATAACTTACTTTGCACCGGACAGAGGCAACCATGCTCATCAGAGGTGCGAAATTATTTCGAACCGGCCATTGTGTATCAAGTCTCTGGTTACAGTTGCATGCAAAAGCTCTGTAAGTATACATTTTAATTGTAATACATGTAGTTCTTCAGGAATGCTCCGATAAGAAACGTGTCTTGTGCATTCATCATATCGAACAATGATTTCTGACAATGGCAATATAAAAAAACAAGCATGAATCTCAGTTTTTACAAAACATTTTAATACAACTGCAGAAAAATGTAAGGTTACATGGTGATATGAAACAAAACAAGATTTTTAATTTGGACGTACGTACCAGAAAAAAAAATCATGAAAGGGACAATAATCTTTGCAAATAACAATGACGGAATGTTTGCTGTTACTCTATGGATACTGCAATATTACAATGCCACTATACAAAAAAACATATCTATACAGGTTAACACTACTCTGTAATTCCTATGAAAATATATTGTAAACCTAAACACAATTATGCCGTGAATTACAATTATATTGCAGAAACAAATCATGCCACTTCAAATAGCATGGATGACTGATAGAATGTTATTCCATAAAGAAACACATTACAATTAGGTCCAGCAGATTTTCATTCATGTCCTCTGCCTCTCATATGGTGCAATGTTCCCTGTTTACACCAAGTTTATAAGAATATAATATATGTCTACACACGTAAAAGACCACAAGTCTTGGAATGTTAGAAATTGGTAGGTCACTTAGGCAAAGAATGTTGTACATTTGCACACTACTATACACAAGGAGTTTAAGGAGTTTCGCAAAGGTGACTCATTTGAATAAACGTCAACTTTCTGACCCGCCCCTACTGAAAAAAAGAGCATCATAGATCGTATTTCTCCAAGATAAACATTCTGATTCTTACCAGTGTCCCCACAACATACCTTGCAACAATCTTTGTTAAATCACCGCTGATTAAATGTATTTCCTTTGCAGGGCTTTTCAGTTATTCCCCTTTTAAAACTTTGTCACATTAAGATCGAATTAAAAACAACATTCCTATGGTGGGCCAAAGTTTCTGCAGAGGGCGATCATTAAAAAAAACATGTCTCCTTAAGCAAACATTAATTAATAATCATGTTTTAGAAGAACAACTCTGGGATAAATGGGCTTGACCCTGGCCGAAATGTCAGGGTCCATAAATGTAGACTGATCAACGTGAGCTAGTACGAGAACTGTGGTGAACGTGACTGTACCATACTTATCCCGAGTCTGTTAAGTTACTGGTTGTAAACTTAATCTAATTGATACAAAAAATGGATAACAAAAAGCGAGGGTCGATTTTGTATGGAATACAACTCACAGCTGGCAAGGACAATTTGTGTAACCATATGGCCACTGGAACAATAATGCATCAGAGTTAGCTTCGAGCAAATACAAGGATATATGGAAGAAAACGTCTGTACAGATACAGTATTGCACTACACTAGAGATGCACACGAAGCATGCAGCACATGACAAGTTTACTCTTGAAGTAGAATTCGTGTCCCATCTTCCAAATATAAGTTGAGCATTGTTGATTTTTTATCTTTTTAACGTCAAGAAAATGTCAAGTTAATGTGCAATGCATGTGCCCAACTTCAGCTTAAGAATCCACACATACGTATGACAGATTTAACAGTTACACTGGCATTCTGAATGGGGCAAAATAATAAGCGATAATCATGTTGCTGACGATATAACCGAGTCAGTAACTTCTGCAACATAGCTGACATTTTAATCAGAAAGGTTATTTTCAAACACGTAATCAGTTATGACAATTGACCATTGCTCAAAAAAACTATTTATTTAAGTACAGTTACTCCTGAAGGTCACCGATTACTTAGTATTTTAGCAAAGTGTTTAGATTGCCACTCGCCTGCCAAAACCTTTTTCTTTGACAATGCCGGTAAGCGCATACCATAAGCATCGGGCCAAAGATACAAATAAAACGTTTACCACGTTATAAGTCCATATTTACTAAAGACCAACTTATGCCACTGCACAATAGAAGGCACCTTGCGTTTCTCATTTCTGCTAGGCACTTTCAAAAATCCGAAAAGACTGCAAAAACACTCAATGGGTGCTGAATACAGCATGGGTACAGCAATGCATAGTCATTGATTAAAATCGACCCTTAATGTCACCAATCAAGCATCGATTTGTGAGTGCAAGAACAGACTTTTATTTTATATGTTGCATGTAATTGGTTCATGTGACCACTCAAACACACATATTTTATGCGTTAAGAAAACAAATCTTCAATTGAATCACGTCAAATCGTGATGAAATTAATCAAATCGTTAGCGCTATAAATGCTATTCACAATTCAGGCTTTAACAGAGCAACCAAAAGTTGGACTTTAATTCAAAGTTATTCCTGTTCAATTGTGACTCGATAAACATGTATTTACTAAAGACCAGTGTGACTACACAGGCTTGTCACTGTAATTGGAATGGTTAATTATACACAGGGAGCATTTGAAGAATTAAAACGTCTTATGGTAAGTGTCCCGTTCATACGATGCGTCTGTAAATTGCTTTACTGGCGACTAATATTCCGCACAATCGTTACCAAATAAAGGCTTTGTGAAAGGTGTTTTGAATTAAACACTTAAGGCAATTATCTCTGCAGGGTCTGTTTGAGAACTGCAGCTATCAACAGCATTGATGTCGCATGAGATTTTGATCTTATTGCTAGCTAAGATTGGTCACAATGATAATGGTTATTCAAAATAATGCAATGCTGTGCACATTTTTCCGACACTTATGCTATTTTAAGACGTGGTAACTTTGATTAAAAAAAGTTTTACGTGAACGTTTTAAGTGACAACAGCATTATTATTATTTCCGTACCGAATATAATCTAGTTATTATTACTATGCTATTTCAGAACTGTGGTAGTGTCTTACATTGTCGCGAAGTTTACTTGAAGCATTTTGAATTTTGCACGTTCCTAGATGCCATTTTTTTGTAAAAGTAAAGTTGGATGGCATGTGCTTTTATATTTAGAGTATTTGGCTGCTAAATTTCCACATAATGAGCTATCATTTGTGGCCAGGTCACTTCTGAAAAAGAGCTGTATAAGCTCAGCGGATCTTACCTGGTAAAATAAAAACTATGAATATTTCGTTATGGTTTTGCTACCCCAGGTCTCCCTTGAGAATATTAGTCTCAGTGGTTCTCACCTGGTTTAAATATCCAAATATTCATGCAGCCACTTTTATACACAAAACGACTGTTTAAGTGTGCATGTTCATGATAATGTAAGGCATATATATATTGCAGCATTCACATTACCTAGAGTAAATATCAAAAAGCGAGCACACATTTATTAATAAATCCATTGCTGCTACAATACCCATAATTAAAGTACTGGACATTACTTTTCCACAATTATCCCATACATGACACTTAGTGGCAATTATTGCAGGTCAAGTGAGTTTGATTAACCATTATTAAGAGAAAAAGTCTAAAACAGAACAAACCTTAAGTAGAGCACTATAAAAAAAATTAGCTTACAGGCTGTGAACTTACATTCCACTGTTTGTTATTGTAAAGCGGCATTTTAAAAAGTGCAATTTTGTTGCTAAGACAGTTTCAGATTCTACAGATAAATAACATTACTCGGTATGACTGTTCTTTAGGATAGTAGTAATCCCCTAGGTCAATTAATTACTGTGCAGGAATAACACATGTCAGGTTAATAATAATTGAAAAAAAAACACCCTGACTATTCCCTTGACCGTGATCTTTTAAGGTCTGCGTTGAGTGAGTTCGCAGCTCACAGTCTGAGAACGTTTTGTAATGTTAGCAGCATTTCTTTTGATTGGCTTCATCATAGACATTCGCATTACTCCGGTCGACCTCTGCAAAAGGCAACAAAAAATGATAAAGGGGGAATGAAACACAAAAGAAAACAAGTTTGAAAAAATCACGCACGCCACATGAATTCTGCAACGCTTTCTGACATGCATTTTTGTCTTCGGTTGTGATTAACGGTGTGAAAGCCGACAGATAACTGTCCGGAAAAAAGCAAAAACATGACTATTTTCAAATGTAGATTTTGCTCTGATCTGCATCTTCCAAGTTTTGAGAAACCGTTTGATCAAAGCAGCCGATTTTCAATCGAGTAGGTCCAGAAAAGCAACACAACTTAATGCGCAGCTTCTTTTCCATACTGGATCATCTTGATGACGAACACAGCTCATGCATAAACATATTTCAAGCAGGAATGTTATAATATTTAACAATTTGCTCTCAAACGCGTTGCACAAGAATGACCACTTACTGACAAAATCTCCACCTCCTATTTTTGCTGACGGTGCTTGTGGTCTCTCCAGCTCTTTAAGTAGGCAGTCCTCAAACGCTTGCGCCGCAATGCGGAAGAAAAAGTCTTTAATGCCATCTCCTGCAAAATAGAAAGTTAATTAACGCGTGAAGCTTCTCTTTACCATGACCCAATTATCTGCTCTTTTTTTCTCACAGTGGCCCACAGTGGATGCGCACATGTTCCTGACAGAAGTACATTTTTGCACGAATAAAATGATGCAGCCAACCCTATTCTCATCATCTGCATCAAAATAAAGAATCAGATAATATATATTCTTCATATATGTCCATCCACGTAAAGAAAAATAAAAGTATATTTTTTTTCTTCCCATCAACCACAAGGCCTTCTGGTAATGCATAACTTCAGCAGCATTGGTTCAATACAATAAAAACAGTGGACCGATTTTCGACAGTGTCTCATCAGCAGCCAGGCTTGCTTGAACCAATGCTGGTAAAAGTGCAAGATGTTAAAGGCAAGGTCCCTCACGCTGTTTCAGATGTGCCTACTTATTCAAGATAGAGGCATGCCCACAAATCCAATATATGGCATGCAGTATAGGGAAAATGCCCAGACATTGGCATCCTGTTATGTGCTATTTTTTCAGACTTAAGGAGTTGTATAAAAAAATAATCCTTTAATCCACATATAATGGAGGATAATCCTACAATTCATTTTGTAGTTAGGATTGCATTTACGGAGAGTCACAAATAACCAAATCCAGTGTTAGCGCCCCCAACATCACCGCAAGATAGGGCATTTCACTGTATACAAAAATTGCACGAGAAATGACCCGATAAGATACATTTTTTGAAGCGACGTGTGTTCTCTGCTTTGTAACGGACTTGCCTGTTTTTGCAGAAACAGACCAGTATTCAGCCTTCATTTCCTTGGCTATTTTAATGGCGTCGCTCTCGACACGTGAACACTGACCCTCAGACTGCGGGGAGACAGAGGAGATGGAAAATCAATTCTCAACAACACAACTCGCGCACACCCGTCTGATTTATGTATTTCTCAAGCCTACATTTCTCCATTATTTAGGAAACGTTACACCTACCAATAAATCTTTTTTGGTCCCCACCAAAAACACCAGCACAGAATCAGGGTCATTCTCTTTCATCGCATCCTTCAGCCACTGTCTGTGAAAAGGAAGAGCAGAAGTGGAGTGAGTAGCAGTCGGGGCAAATCAAAGCCTCCGAAAACATATTTAGAACCGGCACCTCCGATTAGCACGGTTGGCTTCGTACGGTGCGAAAGAAGCTCAACACGCGTGCATAAAATAATGCAGATGGCGAGTTGCACTTACTTAGCATGATCAAGGCTTTCGATATCCGCCAGATCAAAGACAACCAGCACAACTGCAATGAAGAGACATTTGTTAAGAAAAAAAACATTGGAGCAACAATATTTAATCAATAGAAAGCAAGGTGGAAATATTTAATGGGTACATATAATTTAAAAAAACTTCACATTCGTCCATAACACCCGTGACCTTTAAAAGGAAAACATATATAATAGGCGATGTTTACAGCGATGGCCCTTCTTAAGATCACTCAGCATACAGATGACGAGAACATGGGATTGAAAAGTATTGCTCTTCAGTCAAGACAAAAATGCTTAGGTAATGCATTGTTTTTTTCATAGGGCAAAATGCTATTCTTTGATAAGAATACGATGCACATTATTTCTAATGCTACTAAAGTACCAAAACATTCTGCCAACCACTTATCAACCTAACTTTCTCAATCACTTCATGAATCACAGTTATTAGACTCCCTGCAAATGTAGCTCAACATGTGAGTAGATGGAGCAAAGGTCATGTGCTGGCTACAGCTCAGCCTCAAGACAATGAAATACTTGCTTTGTGAATGCCTAAGCCAGGAGTGAGCAACCTTTTCATTACAGAGGGCTGAATATGGCATCAAAGTACCTTTGGTCGGCCCCACATGAACAGACACACTTATGCGTTATTCAACGACGCAAATAATTAGGGCTCACCTGTATTGCATTAACAATGCCTGTGCCCGTTTTCTTTTAGCTAACACAATGTCGTGTCACAGTTCTAGACCATACTTGCACGGACCACTTTATATAGTTTGTTAGCCGTTTCAAAGTGGTGTGTTTCATGTGGCTGCGGGTTGCATTAAATTAAGTCGTGGGCTAGATATAGCCCACTGGCAATGGGTTTCGCCACTCTCGACCGTAGCAATCCTGTGATGGAAGAGTGCTTTTACACAATAAAGTGTGAATAAAGGCAAACAAACCTTGTGCCCCTCTGTAATAGGCAGCAGCAATGCATTTGAATCGTTCCTGTCCGGCTGTGTCCCATCTGAATTTAACAAAACAAAAAACATTTGGTTTGTTTTTACAATAACAATGCATCTCCAAAGTAGAAAACTATTAAACTATAAATATTCTTATTGTACTAGGTAAGGCTCACTGAACTATACATATCTTTTTCAGAAGCAACCTGGCCACAAACGATAGCTCAACAAAGAGGCTTATCACGTGTAAATGTATAGCAAACACTCTAAACGTGTGATGTTGTTTATAAATGTGGAGGAAATAAGTGGCGGACCCGGAGACAAATCCACGCGATCACGGGGAGAGAGAACACACCAACTCCAAATATACAGGCGTCAGGGTCGGGATAGAACCCACGACCTCCTGTTTACCAGGTGATAAAGTTGTCGGGCACCCCACATATCCATTTTACGGAGCAAAACTAGGAATACTACTCGCAAGTAGCTGCCTTTTCATTTCAACAACAATTTTTTTATGACAAGTTTACACGCTACAAATATAAAACACGAAACCATGGTAAAAAAATATAATCGGCCGAGTGGAGATGGTTTTAACTGCAAAAGGTTTTATTGAAAATGTACCGCAGAAAGAACACCTGGACTCAAGGTTAATATGTTTTCTACTGGAGGCAGCAACATGCGGACACATCCAAAATCTGCTCAGTAATATTGTAAGATCTACGACCAAATCTCCCAGAAATGTGCCAGAGCTTCAGTTCTCAGAAGCTAAGCTAACCTGAGCCTGGACTCTGCTTAGATGGGTGACCGCCACACACAAGAGGTGTAATAGAATGCGTGGGGGCTACACATTGTGGGCAGCAGAGAGCAGTGCAGCAAATATATATATATATAGTCCTGTACTTTTGTGCTCCCACATAAATGCTCCAAACTTTTACCAATCCGCACTGAGCAGCACGGTGAAATATGGTTAAAGGACCTCAATGACCGAAATGGCGCGGGAAGGCCTTCATCGAGCAGTGGAGTCACAAAGCGCTGTACATTCACAATACCGGAGGGCAACGCCAGTGCTCATTGTTATAAAGGATATGTTTACGAACCTGTGATATTACCCGCAATTTTTTGCTAGCATGTTCCAAAATTACGGAGAGTTTTTTTCTATAAAATGTTAAATATACCAGCCACGGCAAATTTTGAAAGTGTACTCTTCCTGTGGGGATGGGCATCCCTTGTAGGGAAGCAGTAATCCTCACAGAAGCACCGGAGGGATGAAATACTTTACAAAGTGGATTAAATCCCGTCATCACCTGGCACAACTGACATTCTGAAATGATGCAGTGTGACTGGCGTAGCTGAACAGGAAAATCAATAATGGCAAGTATATAAGCCCATTGTTGACACTCATTGCTCATGTTTTACAGAGAGAGATTACTTTATCAGAGAATCCACAGCTGGTGTGCATGAAGAACATACATTTATTTGATGTTAAAACAGATTTGCAAACGCAAAGATTTCATACGTGTGTAATAAAGGACTCAGACGCTTCTCTCTGACTCCGTGTCCTTTATTTGGGGTTCGCGTTCTCCTTCCCTCACGGCACTCCTCCTGAGACTCTGCCTGGCAGCTCCACATCTGCCTTCGCTCCCGTAGCCTTCCGCGCTCCTGCAGCTCCGCTGCAGGCTCTTGGTGCAGCCCTCTGGCTGCTCTCACAGCAGCTCCATCGCTGCTCCCTGTTCCTCCGTGCGTGGCGATCTCGCCACCTCCCAACGTCAGCCCTTCGTGGCCTCTGTGGCTATCTCGCCATCTCCTACCTCAGTCCTTCGTGGCCTCTGTGGCTATCTCGCCATCTCCTACCTCAGCCCTTCGTGGCCTCTGTGGCTATCTCGCCATCTCCAACCTCAATCCTCCACTCTCTCTTCCACCCCGCTGGCTGGCGCCGCCATGAGCCCCTCAGCCACCAGGCTGAGGCACGGCGACCACCCAACGTGTTCACCACCCTTCACTCCCCCGACTGACCCAGATGGCTTCCTGTCTCCCCGCTATAACTTCTCCCCCTCGTGACCCTGACTCCTCCCTCTCGGATCGTCATATCCGCCCCGCCCATTTACGCCCGCATTACACTACCCTCCCCCGTAGAGAAAATTCCAGCCGTCCTCGGCTGAAACAGAACAAAATAATGCGGGCGAAGGCATCACAATCAGGAGTCCCCCAGACACAACGGAGATTATAAGAACAACAACACAAGTAACGAAAGGGGAGGTATCAGGAACTGGAACAGAACACCGGCCTGTCCTCCGCGCAACAACAACAAGAATAAGAATGGCACAATGCACAACAACGGCAACTGACACGCAAGAACGGCCGACGCGCACAACCCAGGAATGTGGTGTTTTAGTGCGTGTCCATGTTGCAGTTCCATCCGCTCGGCCCAAGTCCAACGTCAAAGAGCAACTGGTAGAGCAGGAATGACGAACAGGCGCTCAATCGCTCCTTCAAGTCCTCGTCCAGTTAGCACACCAGGTAACACCCAGTGTGGCAGGCACTGAAGATCTGTGACGAGAAGGAGAATCCAATCCCCTGAGGCACAACACAACAACGCACATCCACATGTCGTACACGACAGCCACCCGGCCCCAGGGTAGTGGAGATGATGTAAATCCGGCCCGCTTAAGAAAACCCCCCATAATACCCAAAATAACACGATGGATGCCCCAGTATTTACATTTTAACAACAATATTATTTACACGTGACAACAACAACAACAAAATTTCCTGCTCTTGCCCACCAGCAGTCCTCCCTTGAGGACCAGCACAGACATCGCAGGTACACAGCATGTACCCACGGTCACTCTCAGCAAACCAACAAAACGCCTAATCGCACACCCTCGCGTGGAGAGAGCCACGCTCCCCAGCGGTAACGTTTAACTCGCCGTAACCCTCACCGTGGTCGTCAACCCACAGCAACATCCATTTACCATACTCTCGGCTAGTGCCATTTCGGGGATGAGCAGCACTCGGCCATGCTCCTCCCTTACTATCCCATCAGCGATGGACACACACCAGCCTCGTATAGTCTGACGCTTTATAGCCCAGTGAAGGTTCATCCCCCGGCAATGCCAGACCCCATGGACTCCCCCCACGGGGCAATGTTCTCTTATAGAGACAATAACACCCTAACCCAGATCCCGTGAGCCCCAGGCACACCAGGTTCAGTCTGCCACCGCACAACTGAACCATGACTCCCCGAGCCATATGAGCACATGGCCCATTAGTTTAAGACATACCACGGAGGTTTCGCCTCCGGGTTGTCAGGTCAGCCATCAGCCATAGGCCGATGTGACCACAACTCGTGCATCACCCAATCAACAATGGCAGGCATAACAGATGGAATATTTGCCCCACCTCGGTTTATCCCGCGCGCTCAAAATGGCGTCCCCCTTCGCCCAGCGCGTTCGCGCAATATCTCGCGCGCACTCAAAATGGCGGCCCTTTCCGCAAAGCGCATCGTCGCCATACCCCGCGTGCGCGCAAAATGGCGGCCCAACGTGCGAACACGTGGCCAGTTTTCTCCATTCGTGCACCCCAGCTTCCCTATGCTGGGGGTCACAAATGCATCCCCCGTCTTATTGTAACAACCCCAACAACGATAGACGCACAGCCCCAGCTTGCTGCGCGCAGCAGTCATATCGGGGAATTTTTAACCAATATTTTACCAACCACATTGGTTACACAACCCAACTCGCAAAGCAACTCGTGGCTGCATGCAATCAACCAAATACGCGACGCCACTTGGCGCCCCTTTACAATCTCATTAGCATTAACATCTAAGCCACCCACGACAGCTTCATCGCGCACCCTCATTTTCAAAAAGCTCAATTACCCCTATTATATACACGCAATCTCGTGTGCACAACACCCATACAACCAAATTTTTGGGTCCCCCTCGAATTTGTTACCAATTCCCAACAGGTACGCACAATATAATAACAATCCCAATTCCAATAGTCAACCACTGCATCGCACCCCATAACCGTACAGAACGGTGTAACAGCACATGCAGTCAGCATATCGCGATCACACGCGTACATTTAAGCACAATAGCAAACAGATCTGCAGGCAACCAACACACCATTAATCCTGTCGTAGCTTTGCAGCAACAACACAAATATTCTCTCTCTTGCAACAACCGCATCGCACACAGCACCTCGCAGCATAATACACCAAAAAAAAAAAATTTTTCAATTAAGCCCATCGCGCACGGTAACCCACGAGATGGTACAGCACAGGACACCCGACGCTCCCAAGTTAATAATTAACTTCACCATCAAGATAACAACTCCACGCAGCAGCGCACACACACTATTTGACACTCAGCAACACAGCAGACTCTCCGTCCATTCTCAACACACGCACACACTTATATTGACACCAAGCAACAAGCAGATAGCGCGTTCATCGTTATTACACACACACAGTCCGAACCGCGCTCCGCACAATCGAGTCATAAGAGAAACCCAAAATAGCCCCCCGGCCCTCGAAAGATGGGTGAGGTGTGTGTTAAGGCCGGGTGCGTATCGTTACGACTCGCCCGGGGCTGCAGCAAGAAGAGGACGGCAGGGTGGCAACTTGAGACGCCTCGCAGAACTCGTTCGGCGACTTGACTGCTCCGTTGTCACGCACCCGAGCCAGGACGGGAAGCTCCCGCCCCAGCAGCCGCAGCATCGTCCTCCTCTCCTCGCAGCTCGTCCTCGCGCAGCAGCTCACTGCAGGCTGCTCTCCCCGAGGCACCTCCAGATGGCAGCGCAAAGCTGCGTCACCGCCGCGATGTTGAATGGCGGCGTCTCCCCACCGCGGTGAAGACAAGATGGCGGCTTCCCGCCTTTTCTCCCCTGCCACGCCCAAGATGGCGTCTTCGTGCCACGTGGCAGATGGCGCTGGCAGCGCAGGAAAGGCGGAGGCCTGCGGATCACCACCGGGCCTCCCCGACGCCGTCCTCGGCGTGGTGAACTCACACAGTTGCGCCAGCACGATTTTCAAGGTCTCCATCTGCGCCGCCATCTGTCTCCATCGTAAGTTGGCATCCTCCGGCACAGACAGGTCCACCAACGCGGCGACACCTTGCTCACCCGGACCCGTACTCGTTCCAGCACGGATCTCCTCTTCCATCGCAGGCAGGTCCACCGTCTGAGGAAGGTCGTCGTCGTCTGATGATGTAGCAGATGATGGCGCAGGAATATTCTTTTTTTTTTTTTTTCTCAGTTGTTTTGAGATGCCGTTTCACTTCTGACACCAGTGTAATAAAGGACTCAGACGCTTCTCTCTGACTCCGTGTCCTTTATTTGGGGTTCGCGTTCTCCTTCCCTCACGGCACTCCTCCTGAGACTCTCTGCCTGGCAGCTCCACATCTGCCTTCGCTCCCGTAGCCTTCCGCGCTCCTGCAGCTCCGCTGCAGGCTCTTGGTGCAGCCCTCTGGCTGCTCTCACAGCAGCTCCATCGCTGCTCCCTGTTCCTCCGTGCGTGGCGATCTCGCCACCTCCCAACGTCAGCCCTTCGTGGCCTCTGTGGCTATCTCGCCATCTCCTACCTCAGCCCTTCGTGGCCTCTGTGGCTATCTCGCCATCTCCTACCTCAGCCCTTCGTGGCCTCTGTGGCTATCTCGCCATCTCCAACCTCAATCCTCCACTCTCTCTTCCACCCCGCTGGCTGGCGCCGCCATGAGCCCCTCAGCCACCAGGCTGAGGCACGGCGACCACCCAACGTGTTCACCACCCTTCACTCCCCCGACTGACCCAGATGGCTTCCTGTCTCCCCGCTATAACTTCTCCCCCTCGTGACCCTGACTCCTCCCTCTCGGATCGTCATATCCGCCCCGCCCATTTACGCCCGCATTACACGTGTATAGCCCCACAATTGCTTAATGATGCCACATCTGACGAGAATCTATCAAGAGGGAGTTCTAGAGTGCCCCTCCAAAAGGTTATTTGGCCTACTCTTCCAAGCTGTCTAGACAACTCGAAGAGGTGGGTGGACACGCACTTTACCCCACCACATGTGAACCACCAATGGACCAACTGAAGTGTACCCATTTATACTGCTGGCTGGACACAGGCAAGGGGATTTTATGAATATTGCACCATTGTTTGACCAAGGTGATCGGACTGGTGACCTCTGGATTGCAAGATTCATGTTCTAACCATTGCACAAAACGCAGCATCCCTATAAAATGTATTGGAATACATCGGTATATACATATACATGCCACTGCGGTAATTGTTAAGGAAGTATTCAAATTAAATGTGCAGTTTCACACGTACAGTACAAGGGCATGTTCAAACAAAATCATTACGTAAATCCATGATTATAAAACATGACTGCCTAAGGCAAAGTCTTATGAAGGTGCAAGGTAATTATTAACGGACTTCATAAACCTAAATGAGTAAATTTCTCACTCCCAGGGCACCGACTTACATCTGTAGACTGAAGGGAACGCCACAGATCTCAAACCTCTCAACTTCAAAGTCCACACCAATGGTGGCTTTGTAGTCTCTGTCAAATGTGTCCTTACAAAACCTGCAAGATTACAGAACCAGCGCAACAAGAATTTTTAAAGCATGGGGCGACATAATGCCGAGTTTCGATTTAAAGCTTTCGTGACTGCAGGGATTCATCTTCTTGGTTCTTTCGGTAAAGTCACGTAGAATGGAAATAATAAAATAATAAAAATGAAACATAATAAAATAATTCTCACGACGTTTCGGCCACAACGCAAGCAGCCGTCCTCAGGTGAAGAACAGGTCTGTCGAGAAGACAGACCTCATTCAGACTGTCTTCTCGACAGACCTGTTCTTCACCTGAGGACGGCTGCTTGCGTTGTGGCCGAAACGTCGTGAGAATTATTTTATTATGTTTTCTTTTTATTATTTTATTATTTCCATTCTACGTGACTTTACCGAAAGAACCAAGAAGATAATGGCGAGTGTCAGAGAACACGGCCACGATCGACAACGTTGATAAATATAATACCTGCCAGGAAAGGGAAAAGTAATACGGTGCAAAATGTCATACGTAAAACGTGCAAGTTCAACTCCAAACTATTTCAACTGAAGGCCCTTATTAATTTTAGATTTCAGCGTTATAGTTAAAACAATCAAAAGTGACGACTTACGTAAAGTAAATGCGTTTTAAGCAAATTAACTCCACTAACTAAACGAGTATCACATGGCCCTATGAAGGATTTCAAAAGAACGTGAAAAGTATGCGAGCAAACAATGATGTTTAATTTGTAATTAAAATGTACCTGTTTATCAGACACGTCTTGCCAACTGCCAGATCACCTACAACGACCACCTTGGAGATCTTCAACCTGTAACGTACAGATCACAGCAGCGGCTTATACTTGGCAAAATTACTTCGTGAAAATTTAATAGACATCATGCATATGACCAATTGCTACATAATGTGCTGGATCTCATCAGATTTGGAAAATAAGCACGTTTGAGCGTCGATGGTGTTTACAAAGGGACGAGCACCATGCATAACATCAGGTGTTATAGGCTGGCGGAACTAAGTGGTAGGATGCATAGAAATCCATTGTTGTATCGACTTTCACGAACCCACAATGATCAGCGATACGAATCCGGGTCAATTAAACTCCCAAGGCTTGGTGGGGGGTCCTCATCAAGCAGTGGATTGAAAAAGGGTTGGACATATAAATATGTTATGTTTTTTAAAAACAAACTTCCTGCTTTTTACATAACAGGGACCACAATGATTCATGGTACACAGTGCATGTTTGCAGACATCTGCTGTGGCTTTAAAATCTGCCCACATGGCAAATAAAAACAAGTGTCCTTTTCCACTGACATGCACTGTACTGCCCAGCTCAGAGGCATTATTCCAGGGGTCTCCAAACTGTTAGGAACCGGGCCGCACAGCAGGAGGTGAGCGGTGAGTCCGCGTGTGGCTCGCCCCATTATTTTATTTACCACTTCCATCCGCGCCTCTTTCCCGCACTGCGCACATGTCTCAGTCATAGTTTTGGTAAGCCCACAAGCTCTAACCCCTAGCCAAAATGAGTAAAAAACAAACGTCGCTGGAGAGCTTCTTTGAAAAAGGGGAAAGACCCAATGATGACCCCCCCCCCCCCCAGTCCGTGAAAAAAATGTCCTCGACGAAACCGGTCCCTGGTGCCAAAAAGGTTGGGGACCGCTGCATTATTCAAAACAGTTCATTCATGCAGACTACAGACAAAGATGGGAATCCATTTAAAATACCAGTCAAACAAATGAACACACCGACAAATAATACCAGTTAACCCAGGGAAGCCTCACTTAAGTCTCAACATTATTTTTCAAGCGGGTCCTGCATTGGGAAGTTTGGCGAACACCGTTAAAGAGTGTTTGACTTTCACCTGGAGACTATGTATATATTGTATACAGAAGCAAGGTGATGCTCAACACCGCCATCTCCTGGTCACACCTCTTGCAGCCCACAGACCTACAACACCTGGCAAGACCCAGGCCCTTTTTAATTCCTTTATATTAAGTTCGCTTGCTTGCTTAGGACCGTGCAAATCTTTCGGTCGTTTTTTAACCCACTTCCCGTGATCCAATCGAGCTGACATTTTCCACGCAAAAATATTATATTTAATTACCAATTGCTTAATGGTGCAATGCAATCATCTGACCCATAGGTGGCAGCCATTTCAAGCCAGAGGACGAGAGGACTCTAGCCGCCACGCATATAAAGGATTTATAGTGAAAAAACTTTGTTTTTACGGGTTATACTTGTTACGCCTAACTTCTAAGTCTTTCAGGTGACTAGGATCGGTTGCAGATGAGGTGATTAGGTAAAAGGCAGTGACACTTTTATTCAAACGTTCCTCAAACCTTTGGTGTCACTCCATAAAAGTGCGGGTTACGCGCCCAATGTCCATGAGACATTTTAGAACATCGAAATTGTAATAACATCTCAAACTGCCGAAGTAGAACGTCAAAGGAGTAGAAGTCCCCTCCCTACCCCCAACCCGTTGCTCATGGTGATGCAAGACTCCCTGCTGCTAAAGCCAGCAAGGGGCCATGCCCCTGGCTGGCAATGCGGAACATCTGGTTTGCATTAATGTCAGAGAAAAAAATATTGCTGTAAGAACGTAGACTTTTAGAGAGTACAGCAGTGATTTCCTTATTTATAGAAGTATCATCAGTCCACAAGCAAACTTCTAAAAATGCTTCACCCGACTACTTATGTTGATGTACAACATTAAACTACATAATTAATTTAACGTCCTTTCAGACAAAATGCTTTGGAGCGCAGGGCACCACGTGTTTAATGCAAAACCAAAGCAGCTGCTCGTTTAACTCCAAGGAATGTTGATAACTTGAAAGGGAGGCTTGCACAAACTGATACCATATTTCACAAACACGTCACTCTCGGAGCAGGAATGCTGATATGGGGAAAAAAAGTGTATTTTCAACAGTGAAACAAGAATCTCTGGCCACGTTGCATGCCAAGACATCCTCATTCTTGTGCGCACACGCAGCCTTGGTATGATGGCCACGAGCTCACCAGAATTTAATCTGGACAGCAGTTAAGACGAGGTAACTGCATAACAGTGCGAGTCTTATTTGACACGCAAGAATGTTATATTTTTTTAGATGCATGTATTTCCCCCCCCCCCCCCATTCAGTTACTGTAGATGTTAAATTATGAAAATAGAGTACACATAGCACAACTGTACGCAAATAAATAACTGTACGGTAACTGTACAACATTTTGAGATGCACGCTACATAAATCCAAATTGTATTGTACAGTGGAAGGCAGATATATGCACACCTAATATAAGCATTACTCTTTGGTTCTTTCGGTAAAGTCATTTTTTATACCTACGTGACTTTACCGAAAGAACCAAAGAGTATGGATTCCTGCAGTCACGAAAGCTCCAAATCAAGATTCATATAAGCATTGTTTTCTTATAAGCAACACATCCTTACATTACCATACACTAGTGGGAAGGGAAGCAAAGGGAAGCTTCTGATACAAGCACACATTTACATAAGCACACTTGACTTGCTCCGAAGTGCTTACATCTGCATTACATTGTCTAACCGAATATACGTTGAGACGAATATGAGATCACGAGTCTGCTCTCCCTGTGCGCTTGGCTCACCCAACTGTGCCAGTCCTGTGCTCCTGGCAGGCAGTTTTCACCTTGGCATGGAACTGCGGATTTGAGGTAATGCAGGCATCCTCTGTGTAGCACTGCAATTGTACGAAAAAATGATCACAGACATTAATGCACAGCACACACAAGGTCAAAAAGTAATCATATTTACAGCCATTTGTCAATCAACCTCCTCAAGATTTGTTTTGGTCAATTGGGGGTTGTTGAACATCCATCCCCATGCTGGTCTGGTTAGTGCCGGCTTCATGTTCGTCAGTGCCGGGAGGGGGAAGGGGTGTCCAGGGACTTTTAACCCTTTGCCATTTCGATGACGTGCGTGTACGTCATCGTACTGAAATTTAATAACTTTATCGGTACGTCTTTAGGTCGGAATACGTACCGAGGCTCCCACAAGGCCATGCGAGAGGAAGTGTGGCACAATTTGGTGCCAGCTATCATAGAGTGCGGTCGTGTCGCTACAGTTCTCTGCGTTCAGTACAATGTCTTTAAAACAACGGCGCTATGCTTCTAAAACAAATTACTGCTAACCACTTGTGTTTTCCGAGATTCAGTGGGACCCACCTTGCAACTTGTAGATGTCTCGGAATGGGGAAGTGTTAATCTATCACGTGCTGATATTAGTTAGCCTTTGCTAGGAATCAAAATCAGGTTGCTGGGTTCACAGTGCAGTGTTGCCGAAAACTGCATAATCACGACTACAGAAGCCAGATGTGTTAAATTAACTATTATTCGGTAAGAGAATATACAGCAAATACTAGATACAAATTAATTGATGCTACATTGGCAGTGGGTGCCCAAGAATAATTAAAACAAAACAACAACACATTTGTCAATAAACCTGTGGCCTTAAGATGAAAAATATATATAATAGGCGACATTACGGGCAATGGTCCTTCTTCATAGAACAAAGAGGCCGCTTGACAGAGTGGATATAATAAGAGTTAAGAGACTGCACTTGAAACCTTGGGGGCTCATCGATTCTCATTAGCCCCGTGGTGTAAAGTGCAGGCTCCAACTCTTATTATCCACTCCATCTCTCTTGCCTTTATGTGCTATGAAGGGCCATTTCCCAAAACGTCACCTATTAAATCTTTTTCATTTTAAGTCCACAGCGTTATCGATGAATGTGTTGAGCGATATATCCACATTAACACTGCTCAGAAGATATTGGACGTGAACATTGAATTATACGAAATGGACCTGAATGTATTGTAGATTGAAGACAGTTCATTTTACATACTCTTAGTTCTTTCGGTAAAGTCACGTAGGTAAAAAATGAAATTAAAATTAATAAAAAATAAAAACAATAAAATCACGACGTTTCGGAGGCAACACAAGCTTCCGTCTTCAGGTGAAACTGTCACAGCAAAAAATCTATATCAAGTGGAGAGAAGTCCCAAGAGGTACGACCTTATATACTGGTTAAGGAGCCAGGAAGGGCCGCGGGAGAGGAGGAGTTGTGAGATGGTCAGTACTGCTGCTGGAATTGAGCCTTTGTAATGTAGATGGCATATGTAGATAAGCCAGCTAGGATTAAGCCGCCTTTTGTTATGCTGCTGGCTGGGTAAATTAATTAAATACGATTAAGCCGTGACTTTACCGAAAGAACTAAGAGTATGAATCCTTGCAGTCACGAAAGCTTCAAATCTAGTTCATTTTACACTCAAAATGTGTACTACTTCACTGAAAAGCCGCCTTTTCACGTTGCACATACCTTGGGCATCTTGGATATGATTCGATCCCTGCTCACAGGCGGAATGAAATTCCTGGCAGAATTCACGCTCATTTTGTCTTACTGGATGTCCACCGGTAAAGCCTGTGGAAACGATAACACCGCAATTAAAAACAGATGTACCAATTCCCAGCATGATGCTATATTTAACGTGCGCACGTGATCAGCACAGACAATGTCCATAATAATAAAACACAGTCGAGTAGCCTTGAGCCATTCAGTTGACTTCAGGAGTAACAAAAGTTGGACAGGTGTCCGGAATGATGCAATGTAAATATAGTGAGTGTTGAGTCAAGTGTGTGAAGACGGAAGCAACCACGAAATGTGTTGTGTCCGCTTAGTAACAAAAGTGTGTGCAGAAATGTAAAAATATAAACAAAAGAATTCCACCCACGGTTGACACACGATGCTAAACTTAGCAAAACAAAAACCGCATCGCAAGCACGTCACCACACATCCGAGATTTCAACAAAACAGCTGTACAAGGTACACCCCCCCCCCCCCCTTTGCACAACGTCAACACATCCTGCACGCAGTCCTCGATGGCATTGCGCCATAATCGTTTTACCTGCAACATTTGCACGACTATTGCGGTGGTCACGGGATGACACGGAAGCAACGTGTCACACACGTCCCAGGGGACCGAATGCCGATGCCTACGTCCGCTAGCCAGGACGGAGGGCTTCAGGAGTACGTGAAGTTCTACTTGGGGTTCTCACTTTTCGGCCCCATCGTCGTATTAATTGTATTATTTGACAACGCGGACCGGTGCTGTTGTTACCGATCACGTGGCCTCGCGGGCAGCACCTGGACCCCGACCCGCCTTCGTCCGCTTTTTGCCCAAGTTACAAGGTCGAGTTTCAGATATAAATCGGAACCCACATCCCCACCTCCCCCCCACAAGGTTAATAGAACTTTGCACGAGCCGCTGCACAACTAACACGCACACGATTCGTGGTTTCTTTGGGGGAAGATCGTGTAGGTGTCATGTCAATAATTACACTGGTCAACAATTTTTTTTCTGGCCTGGACTTTTGCAGCTGATTTCAGGGTGCTGATTCCAAATCGGATCTCAGATTATGCTATCGGCAAACCCCATTTTCATTGATTTTACCCGAAATTAACTCTGTCACTTATGATTGCAAGTTGTTGCGAGTCAGTGACTGCTTTAGTGTTAAAATATGGTGCTGTATTTTTAGGATAGTGTGTTTATAATATAATTTTATGTAGATATCCACATTTATTTAATATTTTTCTTCTGCAGTTTTTATTGAAAATGCAATATTTGATATCTCAAAAACCTGATGTGATAGACAAAAAGTGATGCCAGATTTGGAAGCAGCACCCCAAAATTACCTTCAAACCGTTGGAATACCTTATGCCAGAAAAAGTGTGTTGACCAGTGTTATTAACCATAACCCTCCACCATCCGACAGAGCCGATATAAGAACTTTGGCACGTAGATAAAACCACGACCACTGACGTGGTTTTTCGGCAAACCCGCAATGTTGAAGAACAAGATTAGTTTGACGATATCTTTTTCCCCAATTAAGTGGGGGTTGGTGGTACCGTGGCGACCGTGCCAGGCTAGGTGCACCTTGATGCCACCTCAAGTCTTTCAAACTCATCGGGTCACGCACAAACAATGACCATGAATACTGTACAAAGACACACTCGGGACAAAGAAAACATAACAGACTAAGATCTCGCATACAGGCTTTAAACATGTTGGTTAAAATGATGTTAGCGAGCACCTATTAAGACCGATAACGGCGCAGAAGAAGTTGGGACGCGGCTTGGCCGGAACCACGCCCGGCCGCCTTTGTCTCCCTAGTGGCGATGCTCACAACATCGCACCGGGTACTCATTTGAGGCGGAGTCGACCTAGGGGAGGCCCAGGACACCGGTTGAGATAATCGTCACCGGGTGTTCGTGACGCTAGCCCCTACACGACCGCTCCCCTAGGGGCTGCCAGGACACACACACACACACACGTGTGATTGAGCACCACGAACCCAGGGCCGCCTTTGTCTCACAATCCAGCGGGCGACCTCGACGACTTAAACCGAAACAAAAAACCCCGCAAGGGCGCCCGGTACAGTGCAGAGAAAACAAAAAAAAAACATTTTTTTAAAGGCCGAGTCGATCTAGAGGTGGGCCGCGCGTCAAACCCCCCTCCCCCGTCTCCGCTCGCTCGACTCCACCGCTCGCACTCACCGTTCCAGGCGAAATAAAGTTACTTCGATGGTCGAAACTGCGTGGTCGTCGTCGTCGTCGTCGCTGAGCGCGAATTAATCCCGAGAAGAGAGAAATCAGCCGGCCGCTGTATCCAGGAAGCGACGCGGCACCACGCGGGGGGGGGTAAGTGGGGGGGGCTTTCAATTCCCTAACATAGACCGGTGCGGGGACCCGCGCCGATTGGTCGCCCGTGGCGCGAGACGAGTTGCGCGGCGGTTGGCTGGAGCGTTGCGGCGAACGTTCGCTGATTGGTCAATATGGTGGGGGGGGGGGGGGGCTGCGCGACTATCCGTGTTGGGAAATGTAAATCGTAGGTCGTGAGTTATTTATTTAAACACGCCCCGCCCCCCCCCGCATTCATCTGGCGGTGACGTCACTCGCATCGGATGAATGAAGTCACCGGTGTCGTAGATATTTCACGATGACGAATTACCGGATTATAAGACGCACCAATAAAGATTGTTTTTCTCTCTCTCTCAATAAAGTGATGCAAATCTTACTCTTGATATACAACAACAACCGCCATTCGCCACTAAGTGGCGGTGACGTCACCACGGCTCTTTGTGCCAGGCTAGGTGCACGTTGAGGCCACGTGAAGTGTCAGGAGGTCACGGGACAGACCCAGCAGGTGCCATGTGTCGACTGAGCGAGATGAGTGGCGGACGATGCACCACCTGTGGCCCCTACTGTGCCAACATACACACATTCCAGATTATAAGTCGCACTGGAACGTAAGAAATTATTTAAAGAAGCAGATAATACGTCGACCTTATAATATGTATATTTTATTGAGTGACTGTGTGTTTACCTTGGTGTGGTCTGGGGCTATCGTGTTCTTGTTTGTGCTGCCTTGCCCAAGCTTGATTAATCGGACTTATAAAATTAATGAAGGAATCATTTATTCACATTTTATGACTTGCTTACTTTTTTCTCTCTCTATTTTTCACTCCTATCGTGTTGTTGGAATTGTTTGTTGTGACTTGTCGACACGCCCATACTGGGCATCTGTAAACAAATAAACAAAAAAGCTTCATATCTCATCGGATTCCTTCTGCAGTCTAAGTAAAGATTCTGATACTTTACACAGCCCACCAACACCACGGCGTTCTGGAAGTGTTTAACAAACTTGTGTCCGGTAGCAACAAAGTAATACAATTCTTTCATCTATATGAAAGGCGTTTCGGGGTGACTTGACCATATTTCACCACACTGACCAGAGCCGGGTTCGTTATATGAGTATGCACGTTGGCGTGATACTGTCACCCAGCAATATACTCTTCTGTACTGCCTTCTGCTCACAATGTTATCACTCGATTTAAAACTTTCGTCACTGCAGGGATTCATCTTCTTGGTTCTTTCGGTAAAGTCACGTAGAATGGAAATAATAAAATAATAAAAATAAAACATAATAAAATAATTCTCACGACGTTTCGGCCACAACGCAAGCAGCCGTCCTCAGGTGAAGAAAGACAGCTGTCTTTCTGACAGACCTGTCTTTCTGACAGATCTGTTCTTCACCTGAGGACGGCTGCTTGCGTTGTGGCCGAAACGTCGTGAGAATTATTTAATTATGTTTTATTTTATTATTTCCATTCTACGTGACTTTACCGAAAGAACCAAGAAGAATGTTATCACTTCCAATTTTTTGATAAGCCCTCCTGCCCTTCTCAGCGCTTTGCGCGTCGCCCCCACTGATGCCCTCAGCCCCCATGTGTGCAGATACTACTGACTCTGCTGTCTGTAGGGTGTGTAGGCATATATGCCTACAAAATACATTTATTTGGGGGGGGGGGGGTGAAGAACATTTTGGGGAGTCGACAATTTGTTTAGACCTTAACCTTTTATCCCCATATCGGGGGGGGGGGGGAGCTCACTTTGGGCCCCTTCAGCACAAAGTCGTCAGCCATCCAAGCACTATTCAGGTTCAAGTCTTGCTTACCTTGCACAATCAGACGAGGTGTGGCCGCAATTCGAATGATTTTAGCCATGGCGTTCATAAAACAAGACCCGAGGGCAGAAGATCCACTCACTGGCTTACGCGAAGCTTATGGGTGCAAACTTAAACCGCATCCACTGCACACACCATGGCAGCAGATGCGGATACCTGATGCACAGATGGAAATTAAAAACTCTCCTGTCAGTGTGCGGCGACTGTGGTCCTCCAGAATCGACCCTCCTGGACATCTGTGATGAAGAGCTTTATAGCTCATCGGATTCCTCCAGTATAAATACATGTTCTGATTCTGAACGACTCAATTGCCTGATTCACGGATACCGTGGAGGCATCGTCACAGCGACATCGATACACTCCGTTGCTTCCGAGGCAATCATCTGGCTCAACTACCTCAATGTAAAATGATAGTTGTTGTTGTTCTTGTTCTACATCAACATCAGCAAATACGAAGACGAATCCATACTCTTTGGTTCTTTCAGTAAAGTCACGCAGGTATGGATTCCTGCAGTCACGAAAGCTTCAAATCAAGATTGATTAAGACGAACTCAAATTTAAGTGTCCACCTGGGAGAGAGCCGCGCGCCGAGTGGAAAACAAACGCGACAAACGACGCTACTAATTTCACTAAACACGCGTGCATTAGGAGCAACGTTTAAGCAGCCAATTAATGTTTTCACCACGTCATCATTTGTGACCGTTTATATTTAAGGCTGTCGATTTGTGCGGTCGTCGCGGTTATAATAAAACGGCTCTCTGTCGCTTGCTAATTTGTGCAACAACCAATTATGGAAATCAATTCCAAGACATTGCACCTTGACCACCCACGGCCATGTATACACCACCCACGATTCCCCAATCCCGCAATGGGCACCCGCGTGTTGATTCAATTCCTTGCGCCTCGTTTGGCAAAGCGAGATTAATTAATTCATTATATGAGTAGTAAATTAACGGGACGGGCTCGTTTAATTAAGCACGACGCTAGGTGCATCACTAATTGCCTTAACGACTCACGCTGTGCGTTTAATAGTCACCTGTGGGACTATCGACCATCTGAATGGCTCGCTTTCAGAAGCACAGCTCTCTCTCTCTCTCCTTATATATGCACGCACAGTATAAGACGCGTTACTCATGAAGAGACCTGAACCGTTCAACATCATTGGCCTCGGTCAATTCCACCGTTGGATGAAGTCTTCCCCGAAGCAGCCGCCGTCTCTCACGATCCTCCTGCGATGTAACAATCCACCTAACCCCCCCCCCCCCCCGTCCAGACATTCTCGCTCCAGCTGACTTCATCGCTCCATCTCCATCTCGTTCCCTTCGCTGCCGCTCCGCCGCTACCAATTTGCAGCAATGGTCACCAAGCAGCTCTTCGCGCCGCTGAACACCGCCGGGTACGTCTTCTTGCTGCTCTTGCACATTTCCATCGCGACCTCGGCCACCGTTCTCAATGCATTGGGCATAGCGGCTCTGATCAAAGCGCGGCTTCCACTCAAACAGAACCGTTTCGTGTACGTGCTCAGCACGTGCACGAGTGACCTTTGCTGCGGCGCGTCCTGGTTCTACGCCGGCATCTTCGACGTCGACGACGCGTCGGGCAAACTCGACACGTGCTTCATCCAGCCGTCGTTCGTCGGCGTCTCTTGCTTGTGCGTGCTCTTCTCCCAACTCGACCGCTACTACGCGATCAAGTCGCCCTTCAGCTACGTGCAAAGGGTGACCCAGTGCAAGACGCTCGTCGTCGTATCGCTGTGTTGGCTCTTGCCCGTCGTGCCCATCCTGTTGCTCAACGCCGGCCCCAAGAGCTCATCCGCCGCCTACCTGTCCATCTCGACGCTGCTGGCCAACATCGCCATGTTCGTGATAATGGGCGGCATGAACGTAAAGCTATGCCTGATCGCCAGAAGCCACGCCAAGCGCGCGAGCAGTCAGCCCAACGAACGAGACACGGGCGCCCCGAGCCCGTATTCGGTCATCGCAGTGGCCATGGTGGCCATGGTACTGTGGAGCCCATCGTACATGTATTTGGTGGTGTGCTTGATGTTCAATCTCTGCCCGCGTTTCCCCAACTACGGCCTCAACCCCATCACCATCCTCTGGACTCTCACATCCGTCACCACGCCAGCTATCAACATCGCCTGCAGCAACGCGCTAAGAAAGTCCATCTCAAGTCTGCTACCGCGGTGGTGCAAAGCCAATGCTCGGTTAGACCACCGACTGTCATCATCAATAGCATCATCATCATCACCAGCAGCACCGTCACCATCATCACCAGCAGCACCGTCACCATCATCACCAGCAGCACCGTCACCATCATCACCAGCAGCACCGTCACCATCATCACCAGCAGCACCGTCACCATCATCACCAGCAGCACCGTCATCATCATCACCAGCAGCACCGTCATCATCATCACCAGCAGCGCCGTCATCATCATCACCAGCAGCATCACCATCATCACCAGCAGCATCATCATCATCATCACCAGCGTCATCTTCACTGATACTTGCTGCCTAGGGGTTGGTGCGATGGGGAAGGTGTTTACTATAATTGCATCGTCCGTCTTGCAAAAATATCGGGTCATTTTTGTCTCTTATTTCCTGACACAAATGCAAAATAAAATAAAAACTCAATTACCAAAGTTCTAATATCAGCAGCTATACAGTAGTCCACATGCAACGCTGTGTGCTTGTTTTCCACGCAAAACAACTTTAAAACATACTCTTAGTTCTTTCGGTAAAGTCACGACTAGATTTGAAGCTTTCGTGACTACCAAAAGAACTAAGAGTATGAATCCTTGCAGTCACGAAAGCTTCAAATCTAGAACTTTAAAACAGTAAGCCTAGGCCAGGGGTCGGCAACCAAAATAACAAGAAGAGCCATTTCTTTCCAATTCGGTACAAAATTCAGTATTTCAAGAGCCGCAATGCATCTGAGTACATACGTACTCATCGTCAAGAAGCAGCCCGTAAAGAGCCGCATGCGGCTCCGGAGCCGTAGGTTGCCGACCCCTGGCCTAGGCCATCGCAACACAACACTGGATGCATACACCCATTCTTTACTTTCTCGTGTAACTAACAGCGCGACAACTTTTCTGCTGCAAAGTCGATGAGCAACTCGTTGCCCGGAATTCGTTGTTCATCTGCATGCAAAAAAACGCGAGGTG